CCTTTTCTCTTGAGGGTCCAAATATCCAAATGGTTGCAGTCTTTTGGCAGAGTAGCATTTCCTTCCGCAAAGCGCTATTTGGTCAGAGCCAACGCCGCTATCTTCATTGTCCCTATCTTCCTTGTCTGGTGCGTGCACTTTCAGAGTGAACTTTGCTAAGAAGTTATGTTCAAAGTCGGTCATGGCCTACCTTAGATAGCCAATGGGAGTGCTTTAAACTTTCTGGCCTTATATATTCAGTCTGTTATAGAGAGGTTGAACTTTTTTGGGTCCGTTTATTAAAGAAGAGAGCTACGGAGTTCTTCTTATCTTCAATTCCATAACCCACTTTGACCTATCAACACCCGCACAGTTATGGCAAGAAAACAGTAGGTTATGGTGCAGGGTAATATACTGTAGGGTCTTAGCAATTACCTATACTATGCTGGGGTTCCTTATAATAAGAACTATAGTATAATATACCGCAAAACCCGATTCTAATGATTAAGGCCCCTACAGTATGCTTTAGAATGAGAGCGTGAGTTTCGCGAGTCGGCGCAGAGCTTCTGATCGTATGGGGATTGCACCAAAGTGCCCGCGCGCTTTGGTGATATTCCCAACCGTTTAGAGTTTAGGGTCCCTACCGCCGCTTGTGATAAACCCTGTGGAGCGCGAAGCTTACTGCAGACACTAATCAATGGACGCCGCTCCCTCTGTAATTCGTCACTAGCTATCATCCGACTCCTGCCATAAGGGTCCTTAACAAAAAGGGTTTGTCAATCAGGTGTCTACCTTATTTCTGTACGACCCTGGAGAAGTCGTAGTTCGGAAACCCTGAACATACTGCCCTATGCACCCAAGACTCTACATCGAAACCCTAAGTCCTAAACCCCAAGCCCTAAACCCTACATCACGCTTCTGGAGGCCCTCTTGTGCACGGACCTACTTCAGCGAGTATGCCAAGGTGGCGCCAGCGCGTGGCCGCCTGGCTTCCGTCGGGCTTCTGAGGTTATACGGGTTTAGGGTTTTAAGGGGTTTAGGGTTTAGGGTTTTAAGGAATTTCATTCAAGTTACTGTTGTAAGACATCTTTTTTACTTCCCGACTAGAACCCAGACAGTTAATTGATCTTGGCGCTTTTTGAGGTTCAGATCAAGGATGCTAAGGATGTGCTTATGTTAAGTTGTACATAGGTCCATGTTCTGTACAGAGCCAGAAGAAGCGATCCCTGATACCCGAAAGTCCAGATCACGGCCAGTTTCTCCCACCCACACTTCGAGTCCAATCGCGAGGGTTTGAGCACCGCACCCCGAGTCACCAGCGTCGAACTCTAAAGCCCAACCTTGACGCCTGGCCCTAAAGCATACACCTTCGTGTAGACTTGGAGTTTTGGGGGCAGTCATAAGTGGGGTTGTCAGTCCAATATAGGTTGTAAGTACAGTTCTCCTACTTATGACCCTACCTACAACTACTCATGGACTTCCAAATCAAGCTCTTAAGAACTGGTGTTTGCCCGAAGAGCCGAGGACGCGCGCGAGCCGGAAGTACCGGCAGCAGGGGAAGTAATACCAGCAAGCCAGCCCAGCGACCGGTCTTTGAAAGATGCCGGTCGTAGATTTCGAGATTTAGGGTTTAGGGTTTGGGGGTTTGGGGGTTTAGGGTCTAGGGTTTAAGGGTTTAAGCTTAGGGTGCAGCCTGAAGGTGTCGTTGCGGTTTGAGGCCTCCTTGGTTTAGGCCTTTTTCCTCTTTACAGCCCCGCACAAGGCATACTTTCCCTGTCCAGCTGTCCCAGCAGAGACTTCAGGACCGCTAGTGGTACAGTAGTACCCTTTTTCCATTGTGTTGGCTTGCTTCTTAAGCAGCATCCTAAACCGCAAACCCCCAAACCCCTACACCCTAAACTCTAGGGATACTGGTCATGAAGCTCTCAGCTTCCCACATTGATGAATCTGATCGATCGCACTGCAGATTCATAGGCAAGTTCAAACCACGATGGGGGGTTTAGGGTTTAGGGTTTCGCATCACATACTGCCATCGTCAAGTATACCTGTGCCTGCTTTCAAGCAGCTTAAGTCTTAAGTACCGGAAACATCTTCCGACTCCTAGTTGTAAGCGGGGTTGAAGAGCATGCCATGTTGGGCTCGGCCTCTCATGAGACGTAAGGCGCTACTCCTGACCATCCTCTAACACTAAAACCCCAGGCTGCGAAGCATGTCTTAGGACTCAGCGGTTCTTACGATTCGGCTCCGAGTAGCCATGCTTTCGCGATCGCCGTTTCCGAGGTTCCCAACCTCAGCCTAGTCCGGAAGAACTTGAAACCTCTTCCCATCAATATAGGGGTCGGAAGAACAATGGAATAACTACCCATATTGTTCTTAGGGGCTCCTTGTTAGCGCTACAGTTTGCCTTAGAACCCTATTCTAATGATCCTTCCCAAATCCCCGATCAAGCAACTACAAATCCATCCCTTTGCGACGGTCCAGAACAATTGCATTAAAGGTTTCGTACTCCATAACTAGTCCTTTATACACAGGCTGGGCTATGCAGCGTCGTTAGGTCGCTGGAGGTGCGGGGTCAAGACTGCACCACCCAGACCGTCACCCCCACAACCTTCAGCCTAGCAAGCCCTACACCAGTCAGCCAGTCTACACAATCAAACTTTGAACTTCGCGACCCCTAAACCTCCGAAAGCAATCACCTCGTCCCAGCACCCACAAGTCTAAAATCTATTTCAACCTTCACAAACCGCAGCCCTGCACCGTTAAGCTTTGAGCACTGACCTAAGCCCAACAAGAAAGAACACCAGGCAAGGCTACCGGCGGTGGCAAGCGGCTCAGGCAGGCCTTTGGAAATCAGCATTCACGCTTGGGCCTTATATGAGACAAACCTCAGGTAGGGAACCCCTTAATCGAGAGCTTCAGACAGCGAGATTACCCATTTAAGATTTGTTGATCCCCAATGTAGGGATCCCGAAAATGCACAGTGACACCTCGTATTCTGAGCCGTCTCCCCCAAGTAAGCCCCTCAACCACCCCAGGCCTACACCCTAAACCAATGCCAGGCGGGCGTGTGCCCCTGCTGCGGCCGTGCGCGTGAGACGCCCGAGCCGCGTGGGAGCCGGGCGGATCTTAGCGAGGCCTAGCTTTCACAGCTTGAAACGGTTTCCTTTTATAAATCCCACACAGGAGCCTGTATAATCCCTATCACAACACATACAATGCCCCTGCAACTCCCCAAGACGAGTATTATACCGTCTCACAGGAACCCTGATGACACCCTCAAATCTAAGGACTTTACGAGGGACCCCACATAGGGACCCTTAATCCTATTACCTCAAAAACCATTGTATAGTCCTTATATACCCCTTATATAGCCAGGTAGTCTCCATATTAACCCCAATAACCAAAAACCCTAAACCCTAAACCCGAAAGCCCTTAGATCAAAGAAAACTTTTCAGAGGCCTCCACAGCCTTGCCGAGCTCCCCGGCAGCCGCGGCAGAGAGCCTTTCCAGTGCAGAGTTGACCTCCTCCCTGGCACCTTGGCATCAAGGGCTCCCTTTTTTGGGTTCTATAGGATTTTAGGGTTCCCAAGGGCTCCCTTTAGGGTTTTTGTAGGATTTTAGGGTTGCTGTTGCCTTTAGGGGTTATATAAGTTTTTAGGGGTCCTTTTACCCTTGGGGTTATATAGGGGTTTTAGGGGTCCGTTTCTCTTTCGGGTTTTGTAGGGTTTTAGGGATCCTTTTCCCTTTAGGGTTATGTAGGATTTTAGGGTCCTTTTACCTTTAGGGTTATATAGGGATTTTAGGGTCCTTTTACCTTTACTGCAAGGGTTATATAGGATTTTAGGGGTCCTTTCCCCTTTAGGGTTATATAGGGTTTTAGGGGTCTATTTAAGGGTCCTTGAAGAGCTGTTCGGGTTCAGGGAGCGGACCTCCTCCTTGGCACCTTGGAGATTAAGGTGCAAAACGATACTTATACGGGTTGGACATGTAAATGAGTGGGTGTAGGGGTGTTCAGGGTTTCCCTGGGCACCTTGGATAATGTTTGTAAATGAGGGGTTGTAGGGCGTTTGGGTGTTCAGGGTTTCCTTGGCACCTTGTTTTGTGTTAGAGGGAGCCCGAGACCATCAAATTAAGGAGTTCTATGGGTTTAGGGTTTAGGGTTTTGGTTTGGGGTTTTTATAAAACCTAGTCCGACAGGCTTTGTCTAAGGTCGCAGCCCCCCCAAGACAGACGACTTCGTCGCGACAACGATGTTGAAAGGGCTTGCTATGCCCTTGGTCTAGCTCTAGTGCTGGTGAAGACGATCATGAGAACCCAAGATCAGGTTCGGCCCACGGCCCAGAGAAGCAACATCATAGTGTACTATTTACTTCTTCTGAGAATCGAGTGGCTTCCAGTGAATCCGACATGACAGCGGCTTCTTTCATATGTGAAGAGCACAAATGCTGGAACTTTCTAAAGACGCCCGCGTGCACGGTGCAGACAATGAGCAGAGCGCACATGCTCGAAACCCCCCAAAAGGCGATGAACAACGGGAAAAGTTCTTGTTACAGGCCCTTAGCCGTTGGACCGTTGGGCGGGGGATCTTGAGGGGCCGTCAAGGACGACGGGTCAGCGAATGAAGGATGTAATAAGGCTGCCCTGACCGAAGGCTTTTTTCATATAGGGGTCTCACTGATTGCCTATAATATTTTTTGGGATCTTTATTATAACTATATTATGAAGGACTAAATCCTACCAGCCTAGAGGAATCTGATCAGAATACCAGGCACTAAATCCTGAGCCCACAAGCCTCAAAGCATCCTGACCGGGAGCTGCAGTTCGCTAATGACCGCTAATGGCTGGTAGACTAAGATGGAGAATTGTTTCCAGGATGCTTCTGACTTGGGTGTCTTGCGCCCTGGTAGAGGATAAGCTTAAGATGGGAATTTAGAAGAAAAGCCGAAACTCTAGCCTAAACCAACTGACCATCGTTCCTCCGCGTTGTACTTCGTGTTTGGGTTTAGGGTTTAGGGACGCAGGTGCGAGACTGGACGGAACCCGACACCGTGCGCGCCCATCGCCGAGTGGTGAGGGAACGCCAGAAGCGTGGATCCTTGGTTTGGTTGGCCCGGACGGTCAACTTGCACTGTAGGGACTGCAAAGCCGCACCCAAAAGCCGCAAAGCAACCCGCTTGGTGATGCCTCTATCCTGGCATGATTGTGCGATATTGAAATCTCACGCTTGTGTTTATAAGCCCTCGAGCCTCCTTTAGGCAAGCATTTCAGTTTTGTGGGCCCCTAAAGGCTCTGCCGTTCTTAGGGTGCTTGATATGGGAGTTTCCGAAAATTAGGGGTACCTTATTTGGGGGTCCTTTTATTAAGGATCCTATTATTTAGGGTACTATATTAGGGTCCCTATTTTCTGAAACCCCCATATGTGTGGTGATTGAGTCATGGGTAGGGGCACGTGTTGGCACTTCACTGGCTGGAGTCGTGGGATGGTTCGAAACTCTCACGCAATAGCAACCCCTCGTCCAAAGCCCCTGGACAAAATATACCACGACATGCGAGAAACCCTAAACCCCAAACCCTAAACCCTATAACCCCTAAGCTCTAAACCCCAAACCCTAAACCCTATAACCCCTAAACCCTAAACCCCAAACCCTAAACCCTATAACCCTCAAACCCTAAACCCCAAACTCTAAACCCAAGGAACCCTAAACCCAAGGAACCCTGGCACGCCCCAGCGGCCGTACAGCGCGCTCAAAGTCGACTCGCCGTTCGCTTGAGGTGCTCGTAAGGATGCTTTGGGGTTTAGGGGGTTTAGGGTTTAGGGGTTTAGGCAGACAGTATGGATTCGGATTTGGGGCTTGGGGGTAGTCCCTACTACATGAACCGGAATCCCTAAAACCTAAACAACCCCCCCCAAAAAAAACCCTAAATCCTAATCTAGGGGTCCGCATCGTTAATATAGGGGCGTAATAGTTACTTATATTTGTTGAAGGGTTCCTTAACTTGTAGTTATAGTATAATATACCCCCAAACCCTATTCGAATTATTAAGGCCCTTACACTGGTACTGATATCGCCTTCTAGCTTCTGGTCCGCCTTTTTACGCAATGACATCCGCCAAAGTCTTAGGGTTTAGGGTTTAGGAATAAGGGGCTATAGGGTTTAGGGTTTAGGGTTTAGGAATAGGGGACTTTAGGGTTTAGGATTTCTGAATTAATTGTGAAAGGCCCGAAACTTCCACCAGCTAGGGATCCCTTGTGGCCTGCCATGGTTCGAGGAATGGCCCTGAACTAAGCATCGGAGTCTCTGGGGAACCCGGATACCTTCGGTTAGTTCGGATTTGTTGAGCATGGTTGAGGTTTCATTTAGGGCCACGGTTTAGGGTTTAGGGTTCTTCGATGAGGGTCCCAGGATTGTTCATGACCTAACCTGAAAGCGTCGGCTGTGGAGAAAATCAGTATTCAGCAGTATGGCACCCAGCTTCTCAGGTATCGAGGATGGCCATAGGAATGCCGAGTGTTTTCCGTTATGATCAAGCTGGGGTTGAGGGCAGTGCGGTCTCCTTGTGACTTGTTTTTACAAATCTGTGGTCTCCAAAGTTCAACCCTAACCCTAAACCCTATGAAACATACCTACCTACAGGCTCCATCATTGTAGTTCCTTTTTTGGGGGATACCTGACAAAATCCTCAATATATAATTTGTTGAACCAAAAAACGGAACTACAATGGAGACTATAGGTAGTCACTCTGCCCGCCCATCAATCGTGCGGGACTTCCACACATTCAAGGCTCTTGGTCCCCCTTACCATCCTGGTTAAGGCTTTGCTTCCATCATAAGGCCTAGCGGTCCCGTTTGGGTCGCCTGGAGCCGTAAACTCCATAGACTGCAAGAAGGCTTTAGGCGCTCCAGTCTGCGGGTGGAGCTAGCCCTAAACCCTAATCCCGAAACTCTAGGCTAGAACCCGAAACCCCAAACCCCAAACTCAACCCTTGCCCTCGCCCAGAAGCCCTAAACCCCTAAACCCTAAACCCTAAACCCCTAAACCCTAAACCTTAAACCCTAAACCCTAAACTGTTTACTATGGAGACACTCCGAGCCCCAAGACTCCCTGGGCCAGCCTCAAGCCCAAGTTCTCTGCAGCATTTTGCTACCCCCTAGATCCCGAAAGGGGTAGTTTAGAAAACAGCTGACCCTCTGTGAAGTGCCAAGGTCTTGGGTTCTAGGGTTTAGGGTTTAGGGATTCGGATCCTTAGACAACTGGGTTCTTGTGAAGAGATTTAGCGTAAGCTACCGGAGTAGGGATCTATGGTAAATAATAGGGTTTCGTTATTATGGTAACTTAGATTAAATCCCTGAACAAGAACCGAGATAAGGTTCTCCTGACGAAAAGGCCCACCCACGAGCTCTTCTGAGCAGGTGGATTTCTGCAGAGCCACAAAGCTTCCAACTGCCACGACCCCTGCGTCGCCGGAGACAACGGTCGCCGAGGATCCGCCGTGCTGCTTGGGATGCAACACAACCGGCCCAAGTAATGTAGGGGCCTAAATAATTACCTACACTATTTTGGGGGGGTTCATTATTATAATTAAATTACAATGGGCCCCAAAATAGATATGTTTTGGAGCCCAAATATCATTTACTAAAAACCTGCTTTTTTTCGTACCTGGACCCTGTTGGGCAAGATGACACCAGAAGGGTTTTATGTACAAGTTTCTCCATACGAGTTCTATCGGGTTTCGAGTTTCAGAGTTTAGCTTTGGGGCCAACGTTTCGGGTGGGAAGGGTTTCAGCATCAAGGTTCGCTGCAAACCCTTTTTGACGTGAAGCCCTGAAGCCACAGATGCAAAACCGAGCACCAAAGCATCACTCAGCAAGTCCTGGACGCTCAATGTATCCAAGCCAGCTGCAATCCCTTCACCAACACATTTGCAAGCTGTACGCACATCACAGAAGCCGTAGAAGCGTGAACAGACAGTAATGCCATTCTAATCATTTCCGTCATAACTATGATATAAGACACACCCCAACCCTCTTCCAGGTATTCAACAAACGATTAAAGGGTTAGGGTTTTTCCGACCCCAAACCCCTTTATAGTAGACCCCATAAAGTTGGAAACCGGGTTAAGGACAAATAGTGATGGGATTCCCCATGCATTACTCTTAAGGATGGAGGCCATTGGGTTTCCAACTTTTGGGCCTCTACTGTTAAGCCAAGAAGGGCCAGCTCGAGACCCTGACCCATAAGCACTGCTCTTGGAAGCCGATGCCTGAAGCCCCAACCCTTCGATCCGACAAAGATCCCTCTAATGGACCCTGCCGTAAACTGGGTTCTTGTTGAGGAATTTAGTCTCAGTTACTGTACCAGAATAGGGAACTATGGTAAAGAATGAGGTTTCTTTGTTGTGGTACCTTAGATCAAATCCCTTAACAAGAACCCAGTAGAGGCACCTAAACCCTAAACCCAAACCCCTAAACCCTAAGCCCTAAACCCCGAACCCTAAACCCTAAACCCACCCATAAACCGCTGAGGCTCGCGGGAGAGCAAAGGCGCGGAGCCTTCGACGCCGGTGACACCGCCAGTGGCCGCGGCGGAAAACGTCGCCGCGCCGCCCTCTGATGGCAGCTGGGCCTTGAGGGTTTAGGGTTCCTTAAAGGGATCTAGAAGGGTTTTTACAGGGCGTATTCGGGTTCATGGGTAGCTCTCTCTAAATTAATTAGGGTCCTAAAAGGGACCTTTTTATTAGTGTGCGGTACTATCGTTTGGGGGATTTTAAACGGGACCTTAAACTAGAGAACTATTCATATAATGCCTTGAGAGTCCTTTATACGTAGTAGAAGGGTAGATAACCTTTAGCCTTTTTGGGGTACTACAATCCTTATGTAATGGACAAGTAGGTATATAGTGAAGATACTCGTAAGAAGAAGCAGAATAGGAAGAAGTGGGACAACAACAACAACAACGATTTCTGCGACAACTTAGAGCGGAGCCTTACAGGTTCAGGGTTTAGGTCTGAGCCTTTGGGGTTCTTCCTAATTAATGTAGAACCGTGACTGGTTAGCCCGGTTTCTTGAAGAGGCTTCATATTAAGATCCTTATGTTCGTTATACTGAGAAATTCTGTAAGGGTGGAAAGTGTGGGGTTGGGGTCTTGAGTTTTGACGTTGGGGGTTTCAGGCTCTAAAGATTCTGCACAACAAAGGTACATGGGTGGCACGGGGTTTGGGATTTAGGGTCGGTGGGGGTTTTAGGTTTTAGGGTTTAGGGTTTTCGGATTTGTGTGTTCTCGAAGATCCCCATTATCGAAGATGCCGCCAACTCAGAGTAGGCTCCAGACGATGCAGGGAATACTCCTGTCTTTATAGGGTGACTGCTCCTGTATTTAGGGGTTTAGGGTTTAGGGTTTAGGGTTCTGTCCAGAAAATCCTAAACTCCAAGCCCACAAGCAATCGCACTCAGGCAAGAGCAAAGGCAAGGGCAAGGGCAAGTCGAAGCCATTGCCGCCGCCGCCACCGCCGGGCGCTGCGCCGCGGAGCACGCGGAAAGTGGCGAAGCCTTATGCCAGGCATCCTTTTAATGCAGAGGGCTCTGGAGGATCTGGGTGTTTAGAATTTGGAGTTTAGTTCTGCTAGGTTTTTCTTGAAAAACTTTACGGGTTTCAAAAAACCCTAGATGTGAGGTGCTTTAGCCTTAGCAGCTTTGGAAAGTGGCGTGTCGAAGAGTGCTGCCCAGGATTCAAACTCAAGAGCCGTATATGCCCGGGCTATACTTTAAAGCCATGATTGTCTGGGTAGATATCTGTACATATAATGTTGTCCTATCTAGTTTATTTTGGGCCTCCTTACCTCCCCACGGGCTTTTTGCCATCCATACGTGATGCCTCCTTGTACGTAGTTGTTCTGCTTTCTTGCCGCCCATGGCAACTCACTGAACTGTCCTCTTTCGGGTCAACTAGTGGTTCGTTACTGTGGGGTCCTGGCCAAGCAGCTGCTTAGCCAGAAACGCAAACCGTAAACCCTAAACCAACCATAATATAGAGAGCATAGGGCAAGTGCGGCAAGTGTGATTAGCCTGCTCAGCTGCTAGGCGGCTGGACTGGCGGGCTTTGGCCGCTGAGAAGCTCAAGGAGGGTGGACTGTTGTTCAGGGTTCATTGTCTGCAAGTGTATGCAGCGGTCTGAGAGGTTGCGCTTAGTCAGGTACCTACTTGGGTTTAGCAGATTGTGCTTTGGGGAGGTATAATCGCTTCCCACTATTATTAA